TTACGACCATCTCTATTAGAAATCCTGAAGCTATTTCACGTTTCCAAGTTATCTTAATTTTAGTTAACTGAAAAATGTTAATTTCTCCGAACATTTAATTACTTTAAAATAAAAACTACTGAAATTAAAAAACAAAAATAGAAAGTTTAGTTATAAATATTTTAAAATTCGGCTGTGACATTTTGCACAAACATTTCACACAACCTGTAAATTTAATAGTACCTTCTAATTCTCTAAATTGTCAGTTTCTATGAGCTGATCTTGATTTTGTAGTTAGTAATATATACTTTTAGATAGTTTATTAGCTTAAGAAACTTCGTATGGCTCCATGCACACAAAACTATCTTTCTTTTGAACAGGGATTTTAGCTGTTTACTTGACACATTAGTCATTCGTCTATTTTAGCAGCCTGTAGTGTACTAAGACAAGCATCATGTTAGCGAAAATTTCAAATCAACTATTACACCAAGTGACGAATGTGATCTTGTAAGGTACAAAACAATTCTCACAACAACATGCCTTTATTTCGAACATGAAAAGGGCGTTCCACGAACTTCTTGGGATATCGAACAGTTTATGAGAAGGACATTCTCAAACAATGATGTCATTGCGGCAACGAGGTCATGGAAAAGATAAATTCTGACCACAGAACCCTCTTCACTTTGCTTGTTTATTTGTTCGTATTTAGTTAAGCACAAAGCTATACAATGGATTATCTGTGATCTGCCCACCACGGGCATCGAAACCCGGTTTCTAGCGTTGTAACTCTGCAAACATATCGCTGTGCCACTGGGGGAGCTCTTCACTTTGTATTGTCGCTATAATATTTGCATCATTAGCTGGTTGTTGTTAATGTGGTAAACAATAAAGCTCGCATTATTAGCTGGTTTTAGTTGATATATTTAACAATATAGCTAACGTGCTCGCATTATTATCTGGTTTTGATTGGAACAGTTAAAAATAAAACTATGATGCGTGCATTGCTAGTTGGGTTTGGTTAATTTGTTTAACAATTAAGCAATCGTGCTCGCATTATTAGATGGTTCTGGTTGATATGGTTAACACTAAAGTTAACATATTCGCATTGTTAGCTGATTTTAGTTGATATGGTTAGAATATAGCTATCATACTTGTATTGTTAGCTAATTTTTGCTGATATGGTTAACAATAAGGCTGTCAGTGAAACAAAATCTTGTTATTAGAGGCAACAAACTAGAAGTTACTAGTCAGTATCACTCACCTCTAACTTTTAAACGACCCTAATCGAATAATTGGTTTAAGAGTCACCTTATGGCACCCCTACGGCGAGCATATTCAGTGATGTGATTCAAACCTACCACCGCAGGTTGCGAGTCGAACCCTCTAACCATCAAGCCATGCCAGGCCTTGTTAGCTAGTGAAGCAGTTATCGAAACGTTTGGCTCAAATGAATAAGTCTACTTGTTTTATAAACGAAAAAAATGTTAAAGCCTTTCAAATTTATTCAAAAGACACCAAATTAAAGCGACCACTGGCTATTTTCTATTGTTTAATATCATTCTTCTATTTTTCAAGACACTAAGAACCTTTCCAGTTTAGTACAAAATATTTTAAACTTTTTAACTCATGCTTGAAACTTCAAATTATCTTGGGTCAGTGGTAAGTTTACAAACTTACAACGTTAAAATCCCTGGTTCGATTTCTCATGATGGACAAGGCAGATAATCCAGTGTGACTTCGCGCTAATAACAACCAACCAATAAATTATCATATTTTAATCCTCATTACCAGAAAAAAAAAGGTGTATAAATCTTACAGTGATTATATTAAAGCAAAAAAAAATCTGTTCAGGGAAAGGATTTAACACATCTTTCTTGAAATTTTCGATTTGCTGTAAATTAGCAGCTACGATTTTTACGAAGACATTATATCAGTATTTAGGCAGTCGAGAATGCGGATCCAGTAAAAGTGGTAAACTTGCTTCTTTTCTTTATCACGTGTTGCTTGACAGTCTATCTCAGACTCAAAATAATATTATATATATACGAATCCATTTTTGTTCATGGCGCTGTCGCGCGCACGCGACATTTTCCTTAAGTGGCAATATAGGTAACAGAAGAAAAACGTTTCGGAAGTTCTATTAGAAGTGTATATACTAAATGATCATCGTTTAAGTCATGATAAATGTACCTTACCTGACAGCGTCAAAATGCTGTTAAGAGTTTGGCATGAAGTTTCCATCGCTTAGACGTTAAGTTTTGTTTTGTGCTTCTAGATTATATAACTTGAGAATCGTTTAGGCCGGATATATATATATATATATTAGGTGTTTGCGGTAGATGGACTGTGTGTGTTAGCCATCAATTATTATCTGTAATTTTGTCCGTGCAGTGTAAGGATGAACGTTAGGGGGCAGATGTTAAAGAAGTTCGTCCCTTTGAGTTTAAATTACAATTTAACTGAACGAATTTCTGATAATCATTAATGACAATTTTCGCTTGACACCATGTTTTGGATTGATTCTTTCACTTTCACTTTAGTTAAGTCAGGCATTAAGACAATGGAATACTTGTGCTTCATACTGTAATAGTCAGGCATTAAGACAATGGAATATTTGTGCTTCATACTGTAATAGTGCATTCTATCTTTGTAATTTTCTGGAGAATATCGCCGCCACAGATTCTGTAAGTAAGCACTCGCTTTGATTTATATTTTGGACTTGTATACTCACCGCAATTTCATAAACGATGCATTAAGAAATTACAAAGAGAATTCAGAATTATATGACAGAGTTAATAACCCTTAGGGGTAATAAAGCTTATCATGATGCATCTCAAATTACCCATAGAAAATTACAGTATGTATACATACATACATGTATATATATATATATACAATTATATTTTATTTTTATTGTAAGTGCGATATCCTTTGATCTCAGTTCTACATCTCTGTTCTATGCCATTCTTAAGTTTAGACTCCATAAACTCTCCTTCTTCACGTGAAAGGGTCTGCTATATAAGATAGTGATGTGTAATGGAAAAGAAACACTACTTTAATGGCTTTCCTCTAAGCGGGGAATGTGATCACATGCTCACATGCACGGTTTTCTAATTATAAGTTTTTCTAAGACAGAACACCCAAAAAACGTAAAAGCTTTTAAACAACTAACATCGAAATATGTTCTATGGACAAAGAGAATAAATCTTACTTTTTTGTACTCTTGCTGTATGGTGTCACTGCTGTTTCTGTTTCTTGTTAGTTGGTTTCAAAAAGGGTTTAAAACGAACTAATGGGGAATGAATAAAACGAACTAATGGGGAATGAAGATATGATATTTCATTGCATTCTCATATTCAATTACCGTGCGTTTATTCCACGTCCGACTAACCACTGTTCATTTCTGAACCATTTTGATAGTAACGAAACACTTAATATTAAAAATTCGTTTATTTTTACAATCAAGAGGTAACATTATCAAAGCTTTCGAAAATTTTTTTTTCACTGGCAAAAACATCAAAATGTTTCTTGCATTATTACAGTATTATAATAAACAGGTTATTTGGATAAAGCAACACATACATTACTTTTATTATTCATTACGTTTACGAGTCAGATAGAAAGCTGTAACAAAACAGAAACTATTATATTTTCTGTATTTAATCAAAGCTCAAACTTAAATATACACATTTCATACATAGTTTGTTTTAGCGCAAGGCTACATAATGGGCTACCTGCGCTGTGCCCGTTGCAAGGATCGGAACCCGTATTTTAGCCCTGGCACGAATAGTAAAAAAAACTAATCCTATTTTAGATGCCGAGAAGTAAAGAATAATCGTATCCAAGTGACAAGAAGGGATACGAAACTTATAATAACAGATCCGTTATTGTTTTCATTTGGGTATAATCAGTATTGAGTTTTTTATTCTGCATATTTTACTTTGGAAACATAAACTTATCTACAGTAAAGGTTAATAGCAGAGTCTAATTCCTAATCTATTATTGTTATATTATTGTAAGTGGCTGGGCTTAGTCTACTAATTAGCGTGATGGATTGTGAATTTGAGAGTCCATGGCTTCTGTTTTGTTGCTGCATGGATGAATTATAACATTTACAGTACAATTTCACTATTTTATTAGAGTAGCCAAAGAGTTGGCGGTGGGTAGTGTTGAATAGTTGTCTTATCTCTAGTCACTCAGTTCAAAACTAGATACGGGTAGCACAGACAGCCCTTCTGTAGCTTTGCACGAGTTTCGGAAACAAACAATTATCCTAAGCCATCAATTACTGTTTAATAGAAAATTAATGTTATATTGGATTTCTCTGTACAACCAAAATAACTTCTATATCACTGTTAATATACCCATACTGCAAAGTAAAAAGTTTAAACATGTTCACTGTGCTCTTAAAACTATCAAATGTAGTTTAGTAACAGTGAGCGGGAACTTCTCGATCTCATAAAAAGACTTCTTGGAGATCCGATATAACCCGTGTTAGCAAATGGCGCACACCATGAATACGTAGAATACTCTAACTAGTTTAGTTTCCCAAGAGAAATTTCTGGACAATGATGGTCTACAATTTCTTATTCACGAAGTAACATTAGACCGACTGGATTTTTTGGTTTGTATTCAGCTTCTACTTTCAATACCTGTAGGGTGAGGAACAGTTTTCATTTCGAATTGGTGTTTAAGTAAATTCCTTATTACCATGGATAAAATATAATATTGAATTTCTACATATAAATATCAGGAGAACAAAATATGTAAGTAACTATTAATTAACATAACACTTCATTTTTTGTTATCAACCTGTGTGAAGTAAGAAATATTTTCTTTGACTGTTTCTTAGTCTTGAATTAATGTTATCGGACGTTTGTTAGTCAAACGTCTTTATTTATCCCCAATTAAAAAACATCCTAAAATAATTAAAGCTTACAAAGTTTTTGTTAATATGGTTAAGTAAGCCTAACTTAATATATTGGTGTGAACAAATAAATCTTATAAATATCACTTAAAATATGACCATTGGAAGAATAACATCCAGGTGAGCTGTGTTTAGGACCACTTTTTTCAATCTAAGTGATAGATGAGAAATAGAAATGTGTGTAACTTCTAAAGTACTTGGTGGGAAATGGTTCGTACAAGCAGTGAATGTGCTGGCACTCTTTCAACAGAAAGGATTTTCATTCACTTTCTGAAACTTGTACATGACAGAGTCGAGTAAGAAAGCAACCAACTTCGAATTTTATTAATGTCTCCCTCTACAAGACATTGTGGAATTAAGATCACTAAATCAAGAGATCTACTGAGTTCATTTGTAAGAATATCGAATCATGTTTCACAGGTTAGAAGTATTTCGTTCGTTCCTTAACATCTTCAGAAAACGTGATTTTCTTTAGAAATTCGATCCATAACCTCTTGCAGCTGCTACAAAGAAAGGCCGATAACTATTCAACAGTATAACAAGCGGGGCATCGACCTCTGAAAAGGACAAAAGTTAACTGGTTGAGTGCGTAACACGAACTGAGATCTTTGAGTAATGTTACGTGAATTTTGGTGTAAACAGCGTATGGAATAGGAATAACCTTATCATTTCACTAGTTTTCGCAATTTGAAAGTTACTTCATCACATCTATTTGTCAATTTGTTAGACAAACTATTTGAAAACCATGTCTGCGGTGTTCATGCTCAAAACAAGGAAGGCGTTTATTATTCTTGATATGTGGCATTTATTAAATGATAAATAATTTAAAAACGACACTTGTGTAAAATATCTATTTACAATTTTAATTATAAATATGTATTAAATGTTAACCACTTTTAACATTCATTTACTTTTAGATGGCTTGCGACACATTTCAACAAGTTAAACGTGGGATATAAGATCGGCAGACACGGACGAAAAGAAATGGAAGATAAAGGTTGTCCAATTCGCTTTTCTTTCAACTCTTGTCTTAATCAACTCTCTGATTCAAAACGAGAGGGTCAACTTTCGCTAGACGAGAAGAAATTCCTACTGGCCGTTGAAAGAGGTGACTTAGCTTCAGTTCGTAGGTAGGTGTATATAGAGCGACGACCTTTGTTATGTTTAATTGTCATTCTTGGGAACGAAATGACAGAGGATGTGACACATATTATTTGGTTCTTTTTTCATTTAAAGAAGAAGAAGACTTCTGTTTCAAAATCATTTGTAAACGTTGAAAGTTAAAGTTTAAACACCAAAGACTGGCGAAACAATGAAAATCAATAGGCCTAGTTTTGGTGATAAAAATCATGTGAACTGCAGATGTTGTATTTTCACATTTATATTAATTTGGCCATTTAGGATTTCAAATCATAGGTGTGTAAGAATAGCCTTTCAGATCTGTTTTTTGTCTCTCGAAAATCCCTGCTCAAGAGGCCTTTCGGTTATGCTGGATACAAAGGTGAAATACAATTTGTAACAACTCTGATTTGGAGTCCAGAATGGACAAACTTAGAGAAATGTAAAAACAGACGCATTTGCAGTTTAGTTGATTTTAATCACAAAGATAGGTCTATTTATAGACAATGGCCGTTTTCTAAAGTTATCTGTTGTTGTTGGTTTCTATATTTTGTTAGCTGAGAAGTTACATGATTTTCTTCTCTATAATGTATTATACGTAATATTAAAACATTGTTACAGCCAAAGTAATTAACCTCTACACAACGACTTTAAATTTCATTCAGTTTTTCTTTTTTCTTTAGTTGGTTTTTCAGTGTATGAATATAAATAACTTTTTATAAGATATTTAAAAAACTCTAATCGAAAATCTTGACAAAACCCTCTATTTTGTATTTCTCTTGACTCACGTGTTACAAGTATCTTACTCGAGTGTAATTAGGATATAAATGCATACACTTTCTTTATGGAGGTATCTGGAGAATAACAATGACACGGGTTATATCGACATTAACTGCGTCGATCCTTTGGGCCGTTCTGCACTCTTGATGGCTATTGACAACGAGAACCTAGAGATGCTGGAGCTTCTTATTGAGTTTAAAGTGGAAACAAAGGACTCTCTACTACACGCCATCAGTGAACAGTACGTAGAGGCGGTGGAAGTGTTGCTGGAACATGAGGAGAGTATCCATACGGAGGGCGAACCCCATGTAAGGCTAACTTCTAATTCATCTTCTTGCGACAGTAGTTAGCAATATGAATATATAGTGTAAAATGTTCAGATGCGTTAATGAAGAATGTAAAAAAAGTTCACTTTTCTCGTGGTTGTCAATTGTTGATTTTAAGCATAGTCGTTTTCCAACCATGCAAATAATAATCTTAGTATTTATATACTTAATAACAACTATTTTAAATCTTAGTTTCTATATCGCTTTATTAAGAATTTTGAGTTAAAACTATTTTACATCGGTGAAACTGATGATTTGCCTGCTCCATTAACTGAAGAACGCAGACGACTTAATATACATTACTTATTCACACCAATCTTGTGATGTTATCTCAAAAATTAACAGTATCGATAAATCCTCTTTTTTCTCTGTCTCTCACTTTCTCCTGAAACGGAATTCAACTTATTGGAAATTTACTTAATACAGCAAAAAAAAAAAAGAATCACCTTTTACGCATTTTATGAAAAATATGGACCAGTGATCAAGTAGCTAGAGGTCTCGTTCAGAACAGTTTGTATATTTAGAACGAAATACAATTTAAGTTAGAACATCTACCAAAATTAAAAAACGTTAAAAATTATGTTTCCCAAACTCTTCCACTTCTTCCTTTGTTATTAAGAAGAATACATACATCATATGTCTATTTCATCAAAAGTAGTTTTCATATGATGTATAATTGTTCAGAGCACTCCTATAAACTGTATACTAGATACTTTACTCAGTTTTGTCACCAATAGGAAACAAATAAGAGGAAATTGGCTGTCAGTTCAGATAATCTTATAAAATATTACATATAACCAGCAATTCATTAATAAATTGTACCAGTAATGATAAAAATTAAATTAGTGATCCTAATGTTTTAACATATGATTGCATAGAATATCCGAGCACCAAGTAAAATATACGTCGCATTATTTCGAAAAAGGATCTGATCCGAGAAATTTCAAAAGGAAATTAAAATTGTGTGACGCTTCGTCTCTCATGTGCTAATTAACACCTAACATTAGATGTAGGATGCAAAAGTAACGATTTTTTCTAAACTCTTCTTTGATTTTATTAAGACATAAGTCAAAATGAGATAAGTGGCAATTAAAATATCTATAGCTATTGTTATATAGATTGAGGTTAACAGAAATAATTCAGTTAAAGTTACTCCAAATTTAAAGGGTATATTATGTTCTTTGGATAAAGTCGTATTTCCTAGACGCTGTAAAAGTAGCACTTATCTAATTGCCTAATTATAATTTGTAAAAAATGAGCTAAGATGAATTATTGTAGCCATTTTACATTTCGGTATAAAACGTAACGAATTAAATGTCAGTCTGTTTCTTATTGACATCTTTACGAAAAAGAAGCTGAAAATACATTAACTATACATAAAGAAAGTGGATATTTGACCCTTCTAAGAATCTAATATCGTGTATTTAAACTAGTAATGGGCTGTTCAACTATAATAAATGTGTACAACTTTCACTGCTATAAATACTGTTAGTATTACCCGAATTTCTAACAGTGACGTCTCTAATCCAAGAAGAATAAAAAAATATGTAGGTAAAAGCCTAACTTTGGTGGATAAATAGATTCACTGGGTGGAAATCTTAATAATATTATTATTTAAAAAACAGCGTGTATATTAAGATTTGAGTAGAATAGCAAGTCATGTTTGTTAACACTTGATGAGGATAATATGTTTACGTACAGTTAAACAGAACAGGAAATTTATGCACAATTAAATAGGAGTGTGCGTTTACGTATAAATGAACAGCATGTATATGTACAATGAAACAGTATGTGATATTTTCCACATGAATGACACCTTACGCGACATATGCGCTAAACAGCCAGGTCAAAGTTCCAATGTCCATATATGGTCATCTCTAATTTAAAACTGTTGATCAGAGGGAGATCAACCAGTCCACAGCATTTGATACACTAATGGCGAGGATAGTTCGTCAAATAAAGTTTTTTCTTCGGGCGGTACTTACCGTAACTATTTCAATTCTAAAAAAGTGTATTACATACTACCTATATACAGTCTTAGCCAAAATGTTTGCATATTTTGTAACAGATAATATCATTATTATTAAGATGGAATACAAATACACTTAGCGCTGTCAAACTGGGGAATGTGTGTTATATTAAACATCTACATATATAATTTGTATAATGAGACAGGTTCTATAGGCATTTTGAACGATTTGTTAGAACAGCAAACAATTTTATCAGACACCTGTAATTCAGCATTCACCTATTACAACAAAACCTTATCAAAACATATATAAGGACAACATATAACATCAGATTATTAAAAATAGTGTCAGTAACAGTTCTTATATCAGTTCATATTAAACATTCAGTACTTCGTTGGTCTTCCTCGTACTCTAACAATCTCCGCAAGGCGACGTGCCATGGTGTCGATGAGGTTATTGATGTAATTAATTCCAACCTGTCACTAGAAGGCGCTGCAACTCAGCTACATTAGCTGGTTTAGGCTCGTGGTTATCAATTTTCCGGCTTAGTTCTACCCACAGTTCTCAATAGAATTACAATCTGGAAACTTTGCTGGCCATAACAATCATGTAACGTCCTTCTGGTCGAGATAATCCTGTACAATATATACACTGTGGGCAGTGGCATTGTCATCCTGGAACACAAATTGCCTAGCCTTGCCCTAGCATATGGCAGAAATATTGCCTCCATGTCATGCCTGTAGGAGGTGTTATTGACGTTTCCGTGGAGGATATGAAGTGCAGCTTTTCCGCCATGACGAATAGCTATCCAAAAATGTACTGCACCCCCTCCTGTGTGTTCCCTATGGGAAAGACATTCTTCCCTCATCTGTTCTCCAGGTAAACGACAAACACGAATTCTACCATCAGCTTTAACAAGGCGGGAATCAGGACTCATCTGAAAATATGACATGTAGCATTGTTCTATCTGTATGTTGGTATGCTGTCTTACCCAAGTAACATGGTGGTGAATTCTGGTTAATATCGGTTTGTAGATAACCATTTTTTTACGATAACCTTGTTTGGTCAATCTCCTGTTCACTGTTCTTCTGGATATCCTGGAATGAATGTGTTCATGTCATTCCTGTCGTAAAGTGTTGCAAGACTTCTTTCAACCTTGACGTGTTAACATCAAAACACGGTCATCTCGGGCAGTAGTTTTCGGCTTTCTACCAGTAGACTGTCCTGAAATAACGTTTCCCGTAGTCCGATGACGTTTCAGAATTCTGATAAACAAGTACATTGGAGGTATCCTACTGATCTAGTAATGTCCATTTCCTTCTTAATATTTATGGACAGTCGAACAATTTGACGCCCTATAACTTATGGCACGTGACGAGACATGACTCTACACCAAATACAGAGTAATTGTCAGAACAAAGAGTTGATCTGTTTCGAAAAATATTATACCTAAAGTACATCCTTTTATACAAAACAGGTGTGTATGTGTGTTTTGACAAACAAATGAGAAAATTTAAACACTCACTTTTTCTTACTATTTAAAAACATCTAATTTCATATATTTTCATACGTACATTCCGATTTGTCCTGACACGGAAAAAATATTTGAGAATTAAAAATATATTTATAATATTCCATACTTTCTTTATTGGCTCAGAAAAGCGTCATTGAAGAAAATTAAATGTAAAGTAATCTTAACCTAATGTTTGATGGAGCCTGGCGTGACTTTATGTTAACGTGTCGGGCTGTAAATCGAGGGTTCAAGGTTCGAAACACTATGTCGTTGAACATGTTCCACACTTAGAGCTGTAGACGCTTTATGAAAGTGGAAGCCAGTTCCATTATTCGGTTCACAGAAATGAACAAAGCCTTCGTGCTAGAAATTGCTGATGGCTGGTTGCTTTCCCTATCTACAGTTTAAATTTAGTGACGGACTGCTATATACGAATCCTAGTAGTCTATATCCTGATACTGCTATATACGGACTACTATATACGAATCCTAGTAGTCTATATCCTGATACTGCTATATAGGGACTGCTATATACGAATCCTAGTATTCTATATCTTGATACTGCTTTATAGGGACTGCTTTATACGAATCCTAGTATTCTATATATTGATACTGCTATATACGGACTGCTTTATACGAATCCTAGTAGTCTATATCCTGATACTGCTATATTCGGACTGCTTTATACGAATCCTAGTAGTCTATATCCTGATACTGCTATATAGGGACTGCTATATACGAATCCCAGTAGTCTATATCCTGATACTGCTATATAGGGACTGCTATATACGAATCCTAGTAGTCTATATCCTGATACTGCTATATACGGACTGCTTTATACGAATCCTAGTAGTCTATATCCTGATACTGCTATATACGGACTGCTTTATACGAATCCTAGTAGTCTATATCCTGATACTGCTATATAGGGACTGCTTTATACGAATCCTAGTAGTCTATATCCTGATACTGCTATATAGGGACTGCTATATACGAATCCTAGTATTCTATATCCTGATACTGCTATATAGGTACTGCTATATACGAATCCTAGTATTCTATATCCTGATACTGCTATATACGGACTGCTATATACGAATCCTAGTATTCTATATCCTGATACTGCTATATACGGACTGCTATATACGAATCCTAGTATTCTATATCCTGATACTGCTATATACGGACTGCTATATACGAATCCTAGTATTCTATATCCTGATACTGCTATATACGGACTGCTATATACGAATCCTAGTATTCTATATCTTGATACTTTAGCCTCGTAAACATATGGTGCGATTTAGGTTGAAAATTCCAGTTCCTAATGTTTGCTGACTGACGTAAATAATTTTCTGTTTGTAAGTTATTAAGTTTGTAAGTTTAAGTTTTAAGCCATTTGGAAGAGATAAAGAGAAATTACTCTTTTTTTTCTGAGAACAGATAAAAAAAAAACGAACTCCGTGTGATATGGTTCTTTTCTTAGAATGGACATATACT